AAAATGCAAAAAAAAGAAAAAGAATTTAAAAATTTTAAAAATAAAATAAAAACAATACTGGGGCTCCTGGGTGGCTCAGTCATTTAAGTGTCTGCCTTCAGTCATGGTCCTGGGGTCCTGAAATGGAGCCCCACATCAGGTCCCTGCCCAGTGGGGAGTCTGCTTCTCTCTGCCTCTGCCCCTCTCACTCTGCCCATCTCCTCACTGGTGCTCTCTCTCTCTCTCTCAAATAAATAAATAAAATCTTTAAAAAAAAAAACCAAAACAACCCAATAGTTTAAAAAAAAGTGGATTGGGTAAACAGTAAACTCCGTGTCCCTGAATGACCATTTATCAGGGAGGCTTGTAAAAGGAATTCATACTTCAGATATGAGTTCTGGACTAGTGACTTTAAAAGTCCCTTCCAGTTGTGGGGCGCCTGGGTGGCTCAGTCGGTTAAGCGGCTGCCTTCGGCTCAGGTCATGATCCCAGGGTCCTGGGATCGAGCCCCACGTTGGGCTCCCTGCTCAGCGGGGAGTCTGCTTCTCCCTCTCCTTCTGCCTGCCTCTCTGCCTACTTGTACTACTATCTCTGTGACAAATAAATAAATAAAATCTTTAAAAAAAAAAATAAAAGTCCCTTCCAGTTGTAAGAGTCCATGAAATTCTAGTTGTTGCTGTTGAGTGTATATGCACATGTTTGTATTAGCCTGATGATGGATATTTCTATATAAATGTTTGCCATTTGATTCAGTTTTAGCAATTAAAAATATATGTAAATGTCACAGGGAAAAAAAATCTTCTCTAGTTTCTGACCTTAAGTAATATTTTGAAGCATAAAGTTCATATGTTTTAGTTTACCCCTGCTTAGATCAGGCCATATATATTGCTTATTGTTCTGAAAAACAAAATTATGATTAGTTCATATTATTAGACGTGAATCTCTAATATTATACTTTGCCTCTAGAAGCTTCACATCAATCCATCATTTCATAGCTGCTTTGGAAATTCCCATTACCATTCTCTGTGTGTAGTGCCTGTAGTGCAAAAAAATAGTACTTTATACTGGTAAACTAACTACATTCCAAGATTTGCTTTGTGGGTATTTTTTCCAAGTTCAGCTTCTTAGTGGCACTTATTGAACTGGTCTAGAAGCTAAGTGTGACACCTGCAATAGGCCCAGGACTCATAGTCGTGTACTATATGGGCAACAAATCTCAGCTCTTTATTTTGTATTTAAGTCTACTGGCTATATATTTTCTTTTACTATTTTCCCTCATTTATTTTATTTCTTTAAATTTTTTAAAAGATTATTTATTTATTTATTTGAGAGAGAGAGAGAGAGAGCATGAGCAGGGAGAGAGAAAGGGAGAAGCAGACTCCGCTGCTGAGCAGGGAGCCCGATGCGGGGCTCGATCCCAGGACTCTGGGGTCATGACCCGAGCTGAAGGCAGATGCCCAACTGACTCAGCCACCCAGGAGCCCCTATTTTCCCTCATTTAAAAAGTAATATGGAGCACCTGGCTGCCTCAGTCAGGGGAGCATATGACTCTTGATCTCGAGGTTGTGAATTCAAGCCCTGCTTTGGGTGTAGAGATTACTTAAAAGTAAAATCTCAAAAAATAAAAACAAAAAGTAATATACACTCACTGTAGAAAATTCAATCATTATATGAAGGTATAAATAAGGTACACATTTCCTATTATTTTAATCAGCAGCCAAAGACCATCATCATCAATCATTTCTAAACATTCTTCCAGAATTCTCTATGCTTATATACACATATACATAGATAAATGATTTTACATAAATGGGATTATTCCACATGCAGTATTTCATAACATCTGTTTTCATTTAACACATCGTGAGCTTTTGTCATGTCAATGAATACAGAGACGGAACCATTATTAACTGTGGTTAGCACATTGTTCCTGTCTGCTAGTAGCCCTCTTTTGGAAAAAACAGCCATTGCATATTCCATGTGGTCCTAGTGAGAAAGATACTCACAGTAGTCTCTCCCTACTTGGTGTGTAGCAAGGAATCAGCTGGCCTAAGCCTGACAAGCGTTCTCTATGCCCTTAGCTAGAGGAATTTCCTAAGGCCAATCAACATCATCTCTGAGACTTAATATACCACTACTGGGACAAAAAAAGTCTCACTTCCTTTGGGATTGAGAATTATTAGGACATTATAAACTAATGCCTGCAGCCCTCTTCACTGACTTCAAGAAGGAAGCTGTCTGTGATAGGAAAATTGAAGTCACATCACAAAAAGAAGAAGAGATAAGCAAAGATGAGAGATGGCAAGGAGAGAGAGAGTACTGATATATTGGACCCTGGATCCAGCCATACCTAAAGCTACCTCACCTGGACTACAGTCAGAGCTGCCATGTGGTAACATTTGCTTTCCTAAAAATCACTCCACTACACAAAGTTGTTCAGTAAAAACCCCAGGGTTTACGTGGAAAATGTGGCTAGGAGTACACCATTCAAAAACTTTGTGTATAGACAGGGCACCTGGGTGGCTCAGTTGGTGAAGCGTCTGCCTTCAGTTCAGGTCATGATCTCGGGGTCCTGGGACCGAGCCCCACATCGCTCGGGCTCCCTGCTCAGCAGGGAGTCTGCTTCTCCCTCTCCCTCTGCTCCTCCCCCCTGCTCGTTCTTTCTCTCTAGCGCTCTCTCTCTCAATAAATAAAAAACATTTTTAAAAAAACTTTGTATATAGAGATGTGAAGTCACTATATTGTACACCTGAAACTAACGTAACACTCAAATAAAACAATTTTAAAAAAAACATACCAAGAAAACATGTGCTCTGAAAACTGAGTAACACCTAACTGCTCTAAAAAACCCCCCAAAAACCCAAATCAAAACCTTTGTCGGTGACACATACACAAAAACATACAAACCTAATAAAAACGGTAGTGGCTGAGTTTTATACCTATTAAATGGTTATGAAATAAACACATAAATAATGAAACACATAGAGCACTTTATTTTGAAAAAGACCTGAAGTTTGCTTGTGGAAATGGGTATCAGGGGAGTTGTAGCTTGTGAGTTATTGTGAAGTGGTAGAAGGAGGGTTATCTGAAATCAGATTCTGAAGGAAAGTTCTAACGCTTAGATACGGATGGGTGTGACTCAAAACACACACAATGAACTGAGGTAGCTGGTGGTTGTCTGAGGCAGATATGTGTGTATTTTGTGCATTCCTATGTGACTTGATTCAGCTGCGTGTACTTTTCTGCTTTTACCTAGTGCTTCTGGCTGACAAAAATCACACTTAAGCAAATGCAAAATTCGCTTTATGCTCAAATTCTTCTCCAATACATTAATCACAAAGGAACAGACAAGTGTTATAGCAGTCTATATTTGATTATGCAAATGAATAAATTCCTTTTTTTGTTTTGTTTTGTTTTGTTTAAGATAATCCCAGTTAGTTTTATTCCAGAGTCTTGAACTTAGTATTCTACTACATAATAGTAAGACAATTTAAATCCCAAACTGGCTTTTCTGCATCTTTTTTTTTTTTCTGCATCTCTTAACAAATTTCTAGACTCTCTTTCTCTACTTTCAGTTCTTGTGTGCTCAGAGATTGAAAATTCATTTTAATATTAATATCGAGAAAACATCATTAAGAAGGTGGTATGGACCTAAAAAAGATATAAAGATTCCAAAGCCAAATAGAAATGAGTTTTTAAATATTTACCATCATAATCTGGAACACAGCTGACCTTTCAAACATAATTGAAGGTTGATGATTACAGAATTTTAGCTTGGTCCTGAGAAATTTTGGCCAGTTCAGATTGATTTTCTTTTATGGATTTTGATACTTCAAAATCTATAAAAACTCTCCCAGAGTTTGCAATATTAAATCAGTTCATGTCAATATTGTATCTCAAATCCTCTGACTTCATATATAAAAAGTTTTTCCCTGAGTTATCACTTTAGCTGTTGTTTGTAACAAAAGCCTACACACGTGACAGTCTTTTTTTTTTTTTTAAGATTTTATTTATTCATTTGAGACAGAGAGAGAGCATGAGCAGGGAGAGAGGCAGAGGGAGAGGGAGAAGCAGGCTCCCCACTGAGCCAGGAGCCCGATGTGGGACTCGATCCCAGGACCCTGGGATCATGACCTGAGCCGAAGGCAGACGCTTAACCATATGAGCCACCCAAGCGCCCCTACACACATGACAGTTTTGTCACTGATGTTCCCAGTGATTACCCTTGAGGTTGGAGCACAATTGGCTCCAAGTATACTGCCAGTTTGTATTATTCTTGCCAAGTGAAGAGAGCAAGCATCCCACAAATTGTTCCATACACTGACTGTGACTTGTCGCCTTTGTAACTCCTAAGTAGAGTTTATGCTGTGCAGATAAGGAGACAGAAGAAGTTTCCTGAAACCCACTTTAGCCTTAGACCTGGGTAGTTTTTAAAGCCACTAGGAATGAGCTGGGTGGGAAACGGTTTTATCCTCATTCTTATCTAGGTGTGTGATTTTGTGGCATTATACAATTCTGTTGTGAAACTAATTCAAATAACCATTTAATATGCATGTACTTTCAGTTCTGGGGTACCCTAGAAAGTAGTATCCTATGGACCAAACGTTGGCAAAATTTTCTGTAAAGAGCCTGGTAGTAAACATTTTAGGCTTTGTGGGCCATACAGTCTCTGTCCTAACTGCTCAACTCTGCCCTAAAAGCAGACATACAATACATAGACAGCTAGGCCTGGCTGTATTCCAATAAAACTTTACAGTAGCCCTCCTTTATCCACGGGGAATATGTCCCAGGACCCCCACTGAAACTGAACCCCGCAGTGCCTGAAACTACAGAGAGTACCAAACCCTATATATACTATGTTTTTTCCTCTACACACATACTTATGATAAAGTTTAATTTATAAATTAGGCTCAGTAGAAGATTAACAATAACAATACAGTAGTATAATTATAACAACATACTGGTAATAAAAGTTATGTGAATGTGGTCTGTCTCAAAATATCTTATTGCGCTGTACTCACCCTTCTTCTTGTGGTGATATGAAATGATAAAATGCCTATGTGATGAGATAAAGGGAGGTAAATGATGTAGGTGTTCTGATGTACTGTTAGATGACACGTCAGAAGGAGAAGCATCTGCTTCTGAACCACAGTTGATCTTGGGCAACTGAAACTGCAGAAAGCGAAACCATAGATAAGGGGGAATTGTATTTACAAAAACAGACAGTGGGACAGATTTGTCCAGTGAACCATAATTTGCCTACCCCAGCTTTGGACCAATAGCCTCCAATTTTTTTTAACGGTGTCTTGGGACAGTCTCTGGACCCTCAGGGCCCTGAACTATTCCTGCTTCAGCTGCAGCAGTTATTCTTTTAATAAGTAGACTTTTGCCGGAAATTAGGTTTGATTAAAAAGTTTCATTTCTAATAAGGAGAAAAGCTTTAAAACTACTCCCTTGGACTAAACCTAAAACCTGCTGCTTTAAAAATTTAGATGATTCGGGCAAAGCATCTTTTAAAATGATGACACGGGGTGGGGAGAGGTGGCTGGCTTACCTAGTGGAGTATGTGACTCTTGATCTCAGGGTTGTGAGTTCAAGCCCCACATTGGGTGTAGAGATTACTTAAAATCTTAAGGGGCGCCTGGGTGGCTCAGTGGTTAAGCAACTGCCTTCGGCTCAGGTCATGATCCCAGGGTCCTGGGATCGAGTCCCACATCGGGCTCCCGGCTCAGCAGGAAGCCTGCTTCTCCCTCTCCCACTCCCCCTGCTTGTGTTCCTGCTCTCGCTGTCTCTGTTAAATAAATAAAATCTTTAAAAAAATAAAAAATAAAAAATAAAATCTTAAAAAAATTATGAGGGGCGCCTGGGTGGCTCAGTGGGTTGAGCATCCAACTCTTGGTTTGGGCTGAGGTCATGATCTCAGGCTTATGGGATCAAGTCACATGTCAAGCCTCTGCCCCTCCCCCAACTCGTGCTCTCTTTCTCTCTCTAAATACATAAATCTTTTAAAAAAATATTATGACATGTTGGGACGCCTGGGTGGCTCAGTCGGTTAAGCGTCTGCCTTGGACTCGGGTCATGATCCCATGGTCCTGAAATGGGAGTCCCATATTGGGCTCCTTGCTCAGCGGGGAGCTTGCTTCTCCCTCTGCCTGCCACTCCCCCTGTTTGTACTCTCACTCTCTCTCCCATGCTCTCTCTCTGGCAAATAAATAAAATCTTAAAAAAAAATTATGACACTCAGTACACATGTGTTTTGATGTTACCAGAAACTCACTTCCTCACATAACTGATAAAAGCATTTAAACAGACAACTTTAATAGCTCTAAAATGTTTTCTGCTTATCATTTCTCCACTTTGATTTTTTCTAAGCATAACGTTTAAGGTACCTTAAAAGGTCCAAGAGAGAAAAAAAAAAAAGATTCAAGAAAGGTGATATGGTATAGTGAAAAAAAGGCACCAAATTAGGAATCCATATTTGGATCTGTTGCTAGATTGTGAGCTCCTGGAAGACAGGAACTAAATTATCTTATTCATCTTTCTTTCTTTTTTTTTTTTTAATAATCTCTATGCCCAACGTGAGGCTCAAACTCAGGACCCCAAGATCAAGAGCCACATGCTCTACCAACTGAACCAGTCAGGCACCCCAACACCAAACTTAATTTTTAAGGCAAACATAAATTCACTATTAGATGACTAGGAAGAGAATAAATTCAGGTAGTTTGTCTACTTTTATCTTTTCATAATCCATAAGGAAAAAAAGCATATCTTTTCTAGTGATCAACAAAAATAAAAAGTTAGTATTAGAGATACAGTTTTATACCTGGGAAATTAACATGTTTAAAACACATAAAAGCTAATAATTACTAGATTGTGACAAAAGGACACAAGGACCCAGAAATCACTTGTCTGCAGTTTTGAAATCCAAAAGGCTCTGGAAACTAAAAATTTTGTTTTGTATTTTTAGTAACTTATTTGCCAGTCAAATTGACCTAACCTAAACTTATTTGGCAGTACTATCTGACCTGACTGAATGAGGCTATTCACTGCTATTCATTTACTCCATATGAATAATTATATGGTTTGCTGCAGAAAAATATTACCATATTTGAACATGCAGTGTTTCCCCTTAATTCCCTGGGATGTTACAGAAGTTACAGTATATGGCATTTGGTTTTACTCAGGTACACCAGACAACGCCAGGTTTTTTCCTGGTTGCTTTACAAGGAGAAATTTAGAACTTCATTTTAGCCTCTGAGGCCAAGCGCCCAGACCCAATCCAGTCTTTCCTGCTGCCATCTTGAGCAGTAGTTGAGGCTGAACAAACAGTTCTGAGAGCCTTCCTGTCATGACTTCAATGGGAAACAAATGTGATTCAGCGATCATACAGAAAGTCAATGTTATCACCCTGGTGGTGAATGATCCGGTAAGAAAGAACATCTTGGGGGCACCTGGGTGGCTCAGTTGGTTAAGCGACTGCTTTCGGCTCAGGTCATGATCCTGGAGTCCCTGGATCGAGTCCCGCATCGGGCTCCCTGCTCGGCAGGGAGTCTGTTTCTCCCTCTGACCCTCCCCCCTCTCATGTGCTCTCTGTCTCTCATTCTCTCTCGCAAATAAATAAATAAAAATCTTTAAAAAAAAAAAAAAGAAAGAAAGAACATCTTGGTCTTTCAAAAAGTACTTTTGTGGGGCGCCTGGGTGGCTCAGTCCTTAAGCGTCTGCCTTCCGCTCAGGTCACGATCCCAGAGTCCTGGGATCGAGCCCCACATCGAGCCCCACATCGAGCCCCACATCGGGCTCCTTGCTCAGCGGGAAGCCTGGTTCTCCCTCTCCCACTCCCCCTGCTTGTGTTCCCTCTCTCGCTGTGTCTCTGTCAAATAAATAAAATCTTAAAAAAAAAAGTACTTTTGTATTTTCATCACTGGACATAGGGCAATCAAGGGTCAGAATTAAGTTACAAGCTCTTAGTTTTGCAACGGTATCTGTTCAATATATATTTACCATGGACTGATCCGCATCTTGGCCAGTCTGTAAGAATTTCTCTCACATTAAGTGTGGGCAGCAACAAATATTTGTAGAGAAAGAGTAACTGGAGGCCTTATGCTGGCTCCGCTCCGGCAATAAATCCATCATTACTTCATGGAACTGGCACACTGCCCACGTATCTCTCATGGACCCCACCCTCTGGCCGGCAGGAGCGTATTTAGGGATCTCAATTAGAGATCCTGTAGTAAATAGGACGAGTTATTCCCGTAACACTCGAGGAGGTGGACCTGCCTTTGCCCTAGGGTGGGATATGCCGGGCTTGGATAAATTAAGACGACGTAAGTAAATGTAAACCACAATGCCAATGCTTCCCGACAGCATTTCCTCTCAAGGGAAAAAAGCAGACTCAAAACCATCCCTCTGAAGTTGCCTCTCTTTGGAGCAGCAGAACTAGAGGTAAGACGATCAGCCAGACCCCACCTACGTCGGGCTCGCTCGCTCAGATCTAAGGCACCACGCCGCTCCTGCGCAGGTTGTAGGCTCCACCCTCCTCGGCTACTTCCGGCCTTCACCGAACGCCCTCAACGCGCTTGCGCCGTTTTGATAGGCCTCTCGGGTAGGAGAAATCTGGGCGCTGCCGCTCTGGAACCGCCCCCGCCTCCTCGTCGCCCCGCCCACGCTTTAACCGGCCCCTCCCGAAATCTCGCGAGGCTAAGTGCGCGTCGGTATTTTGCGGGCAACTGACTCTCCCAGCTGCTGTAATTGCTGCTGCGGGAGAAATTGGAGCTGCTGTCGTCTGCGCGCCCGCCCTCCCCCACAGAGAGCCGCCGCCTCTTCTCTCGCTCTCCTTGTACACCTATCGCCCGGAGCGGCGGCTGCAACAGTCCCTGGACCCACCGCCGCCTCCTCAGGCTGCCGCTCGGCCGGTCATTCCCACAGCCCGGCAGCTGACGGCGGCCCCCTGCCCCTCACCGGCTCCTCACTCTAGATCGTCTCCCCCGTCCCTCTCCTCGCCTGGGACCCACCTTCCCACGGTCTCGCCGGGGTGGAAGACGACGAGGAGGAGACGAAAGTCACCCTCCCTGCAGGCGGCGCCGGCCCCCTCACCCGCGGGTGTGTCCTATAAATGGCGTCGGAAAGCGACACCGAGGAATTCTTTGATGCCCCTGAAGATGTGCACCTAGGGGGCGGCTACCCTGTGGGGTAAGTAACTGGAGCTCTGGCCCAGAAGCCGGGCGCTCCAGTCCCCCGGCTTCCCCTGTGCCTTCCCCCGGCACCCCTCCCAGGTCCCGCTGTGTCCGCCACCGCTGCTCCTCTGTGTTTCACTCGGACACTTCAGAGGGAGTCGGGGGAGGGGGAATCGCCCACCTGGGCCAAACCCCCTCCTTTCCCTGGTGAGCGGCCCCTGGGGCTAAGGAGCCCCTTTCTCGTCCTGTCCAGCTTTCTTCGAGGTGGGACAACTTACGTGCCCGAGAGCTGGCGATTTGTATTTGTGGGGTTCAGTGCTTTATCTTCGAAACATCCGTTTTGGCCCTGTGGACCACAGATTAAAGGAGCAGTAACAGGAGAAATTGCGTTTCCCATTGGTTTTTTCTTTTGCCGCTAACTTACCTATTCGTTTCAGAGGTAGCTGTAACTCTGTGCCGTCCTCTTGTTGCACAGAAAGAAAAGGAGCGGGGGAATGGTTGGGTATTTTACTTAGGAAAGTGCTCTAGCTGATGTACTCTAGATCAACAGTGTTTTATTAAAATAGCACCTTACGGTGAGGCAAAGGAAATCGGAGACAAGGTCCTTACCATTAGGGAGAATGTCATCCTAAAAGGGTAGCCGGACTCAGTTGTACATAACCAACTACAGAGATACAAACAAGTGCTGAGTAATCTGGTGGTTGGAAGGGGAGCCACAGCTTTGTGTTATTTATCTAATTCTGCAAGATGTTTTAGTGATGATTAGTATGAGATTCTGAGTAAGGAAGTGCAGTAGTTGGAATGCTTCGCTTGACTTGCACTTCTACTTACCCACTCCTCCACTTTTCAAAGTTGAAACAGGGTTTGAAGCTATTTTGCCGAACTCTTCTACGGACTTGTGTGGAAGTAGAGGCAGTGAAATATATTTTCATGCTGTAAGAACTTGAGAGTTGGTGAAATTTGTATGCTAATGGAAGTAGACACTAATAGGGTTACAGGAGTTCAACTGCCTACAATTCCCAAACTTACCCCCTGGGTGGCTCAGTGGTTAAGCAACTGCCTTCGGCTCAGGTCATGATCCCAGGGTCCTGGGATCGAGTCCCACATCGGGCTCCCGGCTCAGCAGGAAGCCTGCTTCTCCCTCTCCCACTCCCCCTGCTTGTGTTCCTGCTCTCGCTGTCTCTGTCTCTGTCAAATAAATAAATAAAATCTTAAAATATACCAAAAAAGTTATAGCAGCAAAATCAGAAAGAAATGTACATTGGCAGATCGCAGATGTGTTTCCACCAACCTTCCTATCACTATTAAGAGATTTTTGGGTGGCAGTGGCCAATCTTGAGGTGGCATTGAGTCTCCTTCAAGTTCAGCAAGTTCATAGCTAGATGTTAGAGGATTGAAAATACTTTTGGATTTCCAAATAGATTGGATTCCCTTGAAATTACATTTTGTTTTTGTGGTTTTCCCCTCAAAGTAGTGAACTGTCGATTTGGGTTAAATGACAGACCTAATCTTTTAGTGCTTCTGAGTGTATACGTGTATGTGGAGTGGGGGAAGGAAATAACAATCTATGTATATGATTGGAATCAGTTTAGAAATATGTGAATATTGTTTCTTTCAATGAATGAAACATTTACTTTTGAAGGACAGTTATATCAGGAGTGTATATTGTCTAGCCAGCCTAGTACCTGGCACAGAGAAAGAACCCAAATGTCTATTCCCTTCTTCCTTTCTTGGAATTAACAAATTTAACCTCACACCATGGTTACTTTGGGAGGAAGTATGCAGAACTTGGAGCTATTTAACTTATTTAAACCCAATGAGTCATTTTGATAGAATTGATAGAATCACTTCTTGGCTCGTGGAATAATAGAGTTTCTCAAGCACTTTGATCCTTTGATAGTAGGTGAAAAGTAAAAACGTCTCTTGGGACCCTGCCTTCTAATTTTAACTCTGACCTCTCCAACCTCTCCAAATACTAATCCTGTTGAACTCTGTGGGTAAAGCTATAGTGTCAGTCTGTGAATTTCATGGCTCCATTCTGTATTAGTGCGGGGGGGGGGGGGGGCGGATTTGGAAGAGAATTAGATTCATCTGGAGAATTGCATCTGAAAAGAACTAGCAGTACTGGGAGGACTGATAAAGGTTGGTATCATTAACATTTCCTATGTTCTTTGTGACTGGTTTTGTCTTTTGCATAAGGTACCGTGAAGAGAAATGCAGTGAGAAATCTTGATTTGTGGAAACAGATGCTATCACTAGATATCTGGTCATCAGAAATATCTTCTGTCCCTTGATATGAATTGGAGTGGCACACCATACAAACTCTAAGAGGTTAACAGACTGCGTTTGCAAACTTTAAGAAATGTTCCTTGCTGTTGGGTGTGCCACAGTACACAGACCATTTTCATCAAATTGTAGTAAACTGATAGGCGGTGAAAGTTATCTCATATGTTTTGTTAATCAGAATCCAAGTACACAATCTGTCTCCTAAAATTGATTTATTTCTTCTGTTCCCCTCCAGTGGTGTCTTCAGCTTTGTTCTGCTCTTTGAAAGTTCAAACTCAGTCCAGTTTTTTTTTTTTTTAAAGATTTTATTTATTTATTTGAGACAGAGAATGAAATAGAGCATGAGAGGGTCAGAGGGAGAAGCAGACTCCCTGCCGAGCAGGGAGCCCGATGTGGGACTCGATCCTGGGACTACAGGATCATGACCTGAGCCGAAGGCAGTCGCTTAACCAACTGAGCCAGCCAGGCGCCCAAACTCAGCCCAGTTTTTAAATAGAAAGACTTGATTCCAGTACAGCCTACTTTTCCACAGTGGCAGATCTTCTCCAATCGCCCAGCTTTGCAATATTACCACGTTTATTTTTTTTAATTTTTTAAAAGATTTTTTATTATTTATTTGAGAGAGAACAAGAGAGCAAGAGAGCACAAGCAGAGGGAGAGGGAGAAGCAGGCTTCCTGCAGAGCAGGGAGCAAATGTGGGACTCCATCCCAGGACCCTGCAATCATGACCTGAGCTTGAAGGCAGACACTTCGCTGACTGAGCCACCCAGGTGTCCCTTATACCACATTTATAATGCTTTCTTTTGATTGATATATTAAGTCAGATTTCCTTGTTTTCTCCATTTTAACATATGAGGAACCTTTGGCTCAGAGAGGTTAATGAATTGGCCTATGAGACACAGCTTGTAAATGACAGAACTGGGATTTGAAGCCAGTTCTTCAGACTCCAAGTCTAGTATTTTTTTTCCAGTACATCATAGCTGTCCCGCATTGTGTGTATGCATTTGTGTGTAGAGATTCTGGAGTAAAATGCTTTAGGACCAGCTTGCTGAATTGAACCGATGCATCTATTTAAAACTAGCAGCCCACTTTTCAGTTCTCTTGGCTAGAAATTCCCATTTTTCTCTTTCAGGAATGTTTATTTTGTTTTGTTAGATAGGAATTTTTTTTTTTTTTTTTTTTGGTGGGCAGCAAAGTTTATTGAGCGATACTGAGTGAGAGTACAAAGCTCCCAAGAGGGAGAGGACCCAAGAGGGTTGCCCTGACAGATAGGAATTTAATAAGATCATAGCATGTTACAGCTAGAAGGGGCATCTAGTTAAATTTCTGCATATAAATTATTGTGAAAACCAAAGCCTAAAGAGGGAAAGCGACCTGTCCAAGGTGCCACAGCAAATTAATGGCAATTAGGACTAGAATCCAGGTCAGTTTCACAGTCTACTGTTCTTTTTGCTACTATGCTGTCTTTTGATAAAGCAGGAAAGGGAGGAGGAAGTGTCGTATAGTAGAAAAAAGCCTTGGACTCTGAGTCATTTCATTTCCTCATCTTTAAATTGAGATTACACTCTGAGAACTCTTCCAACTCTAAAGTCTCTCATCGTGTTGAGCTTTAATAGTGCTTTTACTGGTAAGTTTTTGTTCTTGGGAAATCTTGCCATGATATTTTTTTTTAGTTTTTATTTAAAACGTTTTTTTAAATATTTATTTGAGAGAGAGCGCTTGCACAAGCAGGGGGAGCGGCAGAAGGAGAGAGAGAGAAGCAGGCTTCCCGCTGAGCAAGGAGACCCGTGGGATCATGACCTGAGCCGAAGGCAGACACTTAACCAACTGAGCCACCCAGGCGCCCTTTTTTTTAGTTTTTAGTTTAACAAATGATGGTATTTGGTACATGATTCAGGACCCATAGATTTTATTTTATTTTATTTTAAGGCCCATAGATTTTATTTTATTTTTAAAAATTTTTTAAAGATTTTATTTGAGAGAGTGAGTGCGTGCATGCATGCCCAAGAGGGGGGAGGGGCAGAGGGGGAGAAAGAAGCAGATTCCCTGCTGAGCAGGGATTTCGATGCAGGGACCCAATCCCAGGACCCTGAGATAGAGACCTGAGCCAAAGTCAGATGCTTAACCACCCAGGTACCCATAGACCCATAGATTTTAAATTAAATGTTTACTGGGTAAAATATATATGAGATGAATGCTCTTGCTAGTTTGTGTGGATTATACATACACATATTAAAGGTTGGCAGTGAGAACATGTTATAAAAATAAATGTGACATTTTGAGCATTCTTTATTTTTTTAGTGGCAGCCAAAATGTTTTTGAGGCCTTGAAAGGATGGATAGAATGGTGACATTTTTAGGAAAGGATCAGAGATCATTCAGCCCAGCCCTCCCATTTAACTGAAAGAGAAACCTAGGCTCAGAGGGGGGAAGTCAACACATTGCTGATTAGTGGCAGACTTGAAACTAGAACCCAAGTCTCCTGATTCCTCATTTATACCATGCTGCCTTTTCTCTGGAAGGAGAGAAAGTATTGCTAGCTATCCCTGCTCTAGGTTACTGACACTTACCCTTTTGGTGGGGATCTTCCCCCCCTTCTGTTAGTGGGGATCTTAAGATGGTCTTCTATCTACTGTGATTCTATTTGTTGCTGTCAGAGGACATGGACAGTTCTGTCTAGGATTCTAACTTTTGCCCACTAATTTTCTCCAATGAGGATGAAAACTGGTGG